TGTTTTAAATGAAGCAATCAGGACTCCTGTTTTTATGAGGATAATAAATCTTCAGAAAAATTTTGGTATATGTCAACTATTGAAAATTCTACGTTTGAAAGTTATTAGAGAACATGTATGGAAACTTGAATAGCACGTATTTCAAAAAGTAAACACTTTTTGAAAATATATACAGCATGTTAAACTTCAAATGAATACACTTTTAAAATCAAAATTTTAAAACTTGCAGTTGATTCGTTGTTTAGAAAAAATGTATACCTATTAAATTTTCAACATTGTGCATTGACACACGAGAATAAATAAAAATGTTTTTTTTTCATTTTAAAGCAAAGTAGGCTGCTGTCGTAGTGTCTACAATATTCAACAAAGTTTAGTGCGGTTAAAATCAGATTCACTTAAATCAATTTACTAAAATTTGCATCTGTTTAATTATTGAATTAAATCGAATCTACTTCCTAAAGCTTTGATAACATTTCCCAGATGTCACATTTTAAATTATTTTATTAGAAAATTATTTATTGATGTATGAATAAAAAACCTTGAAACATGTTAACATCAAGTTTGCATTTGTAAGAAAAATTAAATATGTACCTCAAAATCTTCAATGAGTTGAATGCCCTTGGCACAAAGATATTAGATTTATTTGCAGGTGTTTCAGGGTAAATGAATTTCATAATTATATCCTACATGACTACGCCAGATGTTCTTGAGATAGCTCAAACAAAATCCCTTAGGGAAATGTTTAGGAATCGTTCATTCAATATCGTCTTTTAGGGAATATGTATACATATAATCACGTTAAGATAGTGTATATAAAAAATTATTTATAATTTCATATACTAAACTTGACCACTATTTTGTACTACTTAATAAGGAACTATAACTGAAACTACTCAAGTTGTCTTTTAGGTACTGTTATATCAGATCTCGTGAAGTCTATTATTAGATTGTGATTGTTTTCTTAGAGACGAAAATACTTTATTTCATTTTGGCACAATAAAATATTGCAAACTGCTACCCCGAGACTACTCAGCCGTATTTTTGAGGCAACCCTCATTAATTCCAGCGAAGGTGTTTAAAATAGTAATGTAAGGTAAAATATGGGGTAATTAAGTAACCTTGTTTGCCACAGAACGAAGATAGTGCAGTTTTTTATAGTAAACCCGATTAACGATAAGGCAATAAAACCGTCGTAAAGGTCGAAAGGAGAAAAGAAGGACGGGAAATGCTAAAAGGGGACGAAACACTACGTGTTGTTTTCCAGCAGACCCCGTGAATAATAAACTAGTCTAATTGTGTTACGACCAGGTACTGTCGAATGGATAAGTCATTGTTTAATGGCTCTGAAAGATTAAAAAAGTCACTTGCAGTAAAACGTGTACCTACTGCTCAGGTCACATAAATATCTTTTTTGCTTTCATGTTTTCTAAATGTTTCCATCGGATATTTTCGTTTATACAGAATTAACTCGGAATTGAAACATTATTCTCATATTTTAATTTTGTTAATTGATTAGTATACATGCATTTAGTGCATCCTTCTAATTATTAAAACGACTCTTGTGAAAGACAAAAAATGTTGGTGTTGAAAAATGGTCTGCTAAAATACGACGTTAAATTTACAAAAAATACCACCTGGAAACAAGAAATATGGTGATATAGGAAAAAAAATTCTAAGAAAGATGTTTTTTCCTATGGCACATAAACGGCGAAGTTAACCTAAAATATTCATAAAACTCAAAAAATAAAATATAAACGAACTCTAATCGAAAAAAGTTCTAGCTATTAAAAAACCTATCGATTCGTATTTTTAAATATGTCGATTGCAAATTAAGGTATTGAAAGTTGTTACTTCTGTAAATGGAGCCCTCGGCAAGCAAAAAAAGTGCCTTCTTTAAAATTAAAAGATATTAAAAATTTTCGAGTTCTATCGATTTTTGGAAAAAAAGGTCAATCGGCTCTTCTTGCTCGACGAATAGTAGTAGAGAAACGAATCAGGGAAGTGGGATTTTTTTTCTTGCTTACAGCAAGTAACAAGTTTCAAAACCTTAATTTGTAAGAGATACAACAATGTTTTCGATATATCTCGAAAAGTAATATAGCAATCGATATATTTAAAAAAATAGATTGTTTTAATAGCTACAACTTTCTCATTTAATTTTTTCCGATTGGAGTTCAAGTTTATTTTTTATTAGAGAAAAACTGTTTATTTTTACTGATTTTTTTAGGTTAACTTCGCCGTTTATGCGCTAAAGGAAAAAAAAAACTGTCTCTTCGATTTTTTCCAGGTGGTATTTTTTGTAAACTCTTCTACCTATTCATTGGATTAAATAGAATTTGATCGATTTTTGAGAAACTTTCTAATTTCAAGAAGACTTGGAAAAAAATGAGATACGACAAAATGTTATTATGAAAAGAATTCATGCTGAAATGTAAAATTTTAATAAGTGCTATTTTGTGGTATCTCATACTTTACTTTTGAACAAGATATGAAGAAAACTTATTGAACTTCACAAATTTTTCAATACTAACACTTTTTTTTGTTTCTTAAAAGAGTTGTTTCACATGTATGTATATTTATTTATTTATTTTTACTTTAAACCAACGACAATTTTTTTCCACACCGAAGGCAAAAATAATTAAAGTAATATTATTATTAACAACAACAATACCTACACTGTAATATAGCAATGCACTCAAGAACATGGATCAGCCGCGTAAGGAGGAAGTATAACGTATGTACTAGGTATCTTTAAAAAAAAAGGCTTTCATGCTATCTTGTCGAAATTTAATTTTCTCGAGGCAGAACGAACGTAAACTATCCGAACAATTTCGAGTTATAAAATAAAATTCTCCCGATGCTTTGACATGGTTCAGCTTGTCGCAAAATATTGGCTTCAATAAGATATAAAACGGAAATATATAAAATTTTTGTTTTTAATAAAACGATGTATATGCAATATAAAGGATGTAAATCCATATGACACAATTTCACGGTATCCTTTCCCATATAAAGCGCTCCGCCTAGGTCGCAATAAATTCCGAAATCTTCTCAAGATCAAGTGTCTCAAATACAGATGCTGAGACAATGTCTTTTCAAAATCAAATCTGAAGCTGGGGGATAATCCAATATGTGAATTTTCCGATTCACCGTTCTATATTTGTTCCCGATTTGAGTGTTTGTTCCGATAATATTTGCGCGCTTGTTTATGACAACTCTGAATGATTTTTTGGAGTTCGTCACGTACTAAACTCCGGTATTTTATCCGGATAAACGTATTTTTTACAACTCAATAAACAAAACTGCAGAACGCCCTTTTCCTGAATTTTATGAAGAAAATCCAGTTCGGGGGCATTTTAAATCAATTGGCAACATACTAACTAATAAATACTCGAATTTAAAATTGTACAGAGGACAACTGTTAAATACATACATAGGTACATACATATATGTATATATAGTGTATTAAGGTTTTAGCCCATATACAATTCGAGAACATACAAAGATAAAACGTGGAGCACCAACATTTTGAATATACTGGTTGCTCCCGTAATGCGCTTATATTCTTACAGTTATTCATTCTATTTTACGCCGTGATAATGCTGAAACGAGTTCCATCTTTCGGTCCAACTATACGGATTCATCCCGGCCTAATCTCTTGGTGGGATAAAATCGATCTACGAATTTGCTGCGGGAACTACGCAAACTGAATGTAGTTTTTACTTTCCTTAAGTAAGGGTTATCGCGATTTGTAACTTTACTCTTTTGTAACAATAAAAAATATTCCGGTTCTCCTATAATCCAAGATTGCCCCTTAATCAGAGGAAGAATTTTCTTCGGTTAACCATCAGTCTCTCTTATACTATTTTAGAGGTATTAATTCAATTTAAAAAATCTTATTAAATGAAATCGACGTTCTTCGCCACCAGAAACTTACGTTTGCAAAATATATACCTAACTCCTTAACTAACTCTATGGATAAATCTCCCAACTAGGATAGAAATTGCCTCACTGCAAACTGTTACAACAGTAAATTAGCAACTATTTTATAATTATGGCTATTAAATATAATTTTATATTTGAGAGATCTCCACTAATTCGATTTGTATTTAAATTCCACGGTTGTATGGGATATAATTTATTTCTGTTTCTTCTCACTCTTGTATTCATAACGCTCAACAAGACACAACTTCCATTTTCAGTGCTAATTGATTTATCTCCGGCTCGTTGACGCTCGACTTTTTGCAGCTAATGGTGTAATTCATAGCAGCTTATGGACAACGCGGCTTATCAGATTTGTTGTCGTTCAGCCTCCAGATGAGGCCGTATCGATAGAGCCGATTCTTGCTGGTTTTATAGTAATTGCGTTCAAACCTCCCGTCTTGTGTTATAAAGAATAATTGCCAACGCGAAGGTAGAAAATCAGGAAACCTGATTTATGGTTTGTTTATACGCTAGAAAAAATAATTTATGGTAGAAGCGTGTAAAATGCTGCAGATTTAACGTGAGTTTGGCAATTTTTTCATTTTTAGAAAACTTTTCAATTAATGAATTATTTATTACTATTTTACCATCACCTGTATAATTGTTAGGGTATTAGTCAAACTTAGAAATGAAAATATTTCGATAAATTCTCTGTAATTTTTGTTAGTACGTAGTATTGCAGGAATTTTATCTAATAATTGTAAGAGCTGCCATCTAGCATTTTCATTCCTAAGCTTAACTGGAAGAATAATAGGATTGTTTACAAACTTGGAGATTGCTATCTGAAGAGTAAATAAATCGAGGTACGAAAAGTTGATTAGCAGAAATATTTTTTAAGCGTCGTTTTTCAGTCTCAACGCATTCCGTTTGCCTAATTAACAAATCCTCTCTAAATCTGTAAACACTAAAACAATTGAAATATATACGGTGTACCTAATGGGGGTCATATTTATATGGAGACTACCAGTCAAGGCCTTTAGAAAAACGTGTCATAAGTTTGTTTTTCTACACCCGTATTATAACAATGCACTTATATGCCCATAATCCGTTTCATAATGATACCCATTACGATACAGATTTTTCATTACGATACAGATTTTTAATCAATAGAAACCCATAATTTTTCAATCAAGCATGCTGTGCATTTGACGTTTATCCTAGGTTCCTATGTAATTATTTTAGATGTCAAAATCAGTACGTATTAAATTTTCGTAGATACCTAGCTAAACTTCGATAATTTATCAAAATGTCTGATATCAGCGATATAGAAGAATTACCATCGACTCCTCCACACATATCGGAGAAAGCAGAAAATGCAGTTCAAAATATTTTACCCCAAAAATCTAAGAAAGTGTACGAAAAACTTTATCAACGGTTTATGGACTGGAGAAATACAAATAATATTTCGACATTCTCCGAAAATGTTTTAATTGCTTATTTTCAAGAATTGATGGAAACTATGAAATCATCTAGTACATGGACACATTATTCAATAATAAAAACGTTGGTAAATATAAACCATAATATAAACATTTCTAAATATAAGAAACTACAAGCTTTATTAAAGCGAAAGTCCGAAGGATATGTTGGAAAAAAAGCAAAAATATTTTCACCTGAACAAATAAAAACGTTTATCGACGAAGCACCCGATGAACGGTTTTTATTTTTAAAAGTAAGTATCTATCTAACATTGCATTTTTAAAAAAATTTCATGATTACATTTTCCATTCGACTCATGCATGATAGGTATATTTCATTAATTTCGAGCAAACTCATAAACCGAACTCGTGGCCGAGCGGGTTAAGGCGCTCAATTTGGACTAGACTACAGTATGAGATCCGGGTTCGAAACCAGCCTAGGTCATCCTGCTTTTTTTTTTTTTTTTTTTTTTTTTTTTTTCTTCTCTTTATTTATTATTGTTGTTTTTTTTAGGTAGCAATGATTTTTGGAATAATGGGAGCATGTCGAAGGCATGAACTACATGACCTAAAATGTGAAAATGTCAAAGATATGAATGGAATCTTAATTGTTAATGTGATAGAAACTAAAACAAAAGTACAACGAACATTTACAATTACCGGCAAATACTACGAAATTAGTAAAAAATATATGAATCTACGGCCTAAAATTTGCCCCACCCCATCTTTTTTCGTTAATTATTTAAATGGAAAATGCACAATTCAAAACATTGGTATTAATAAATTTGGTGATATAGGGAAGAAAATAGCAACATATTTAAATCTGCCTGATCCGAATTTATATACAGGGCATTGTTTTCGTAGGACATCTGCAACCGTATTAGTAGATGCCGGTGGTGATATTACTACATTAAAACGCCATGGTGGCTGGAAATCCAATTCAGTGGCAGAAGGCTACATTGAAAATTCGGTTCAGAATAAAATCAGCATTTCCAATACAATATTGAACTCTATTGAGACTAGCAATAATGAAATAAATGTAAATATTCCTTCCACTTCCAGATCAGTGGGACCTGGAATAAACTTTTCAAACTGCACAATAAATAATCTTAATATTTTTAAGAAATCGGATTAATTACAATTATTATATGTTGAATATAAATACAAATAAAATGTTTATAGTTTTCTTGTATCTATGGCAATACCAATACCCGAGGTATTAATTACAATTTTGTAGATTTTTTTTTATAGAAATACGAATAATTACTGTTACCTATTGTGTTCAATAAAAATATAAAATTTATGGTTTTTGATTATTTATCGGGTGTAGAAAAAATAGCGTATGCAACTCTCATGTAATGGTTATTAATACACTCGCATAAACCATACGAAACTCGCCTTCGGCTCTTTTGGTATCTCGGTTAATGCTCTTGTATTAATAACCATCATTACATGATCGTTGCATAATATACTATTTTTTAAATTACACCATAAAAACTGATATTTTTTAATTTCTCCCTTAGTACTTTTCATATCCCGCCACTGGAGAAGCTAGTGTAACTTCAAGTAGGCGCGCGTTATTAACAGCGTATATACACACTTGCGAACTGCGTCGTTGTCAACGAAAATTTAGTAAAATGAAATGGTACACCCTGCATATTGACCAATATAGATATTGGAAAATTAATTACGGGTATTAATATTTTTCAGCAGAAAGTAACACGAACATGTACGTATGAATATATACATGAAATTAAAGTACATCTTCCAACTTGATATACTTTACATTCGGCCGAGTCCTCCACATTTGATTTTATTAGATTTAAAATAGTGATTTGTGTTTCCAGGCACGCGGCAATGATATGAAATAACCCATAAGTTCAAATATTCATGGAAAACAAATATAAGACGGCACGGCAATCCCGTTTTTATTGGCCTTATCGCAGGAGCCCGCTACCTTCCGACACGTCTTATAAGGAGCGTCTCGCACGTAAAATTAAACTAATAGTCCCCTTTGTCCCTTGGACCGGGAGTTCATGGCAATCCGCATCGAGACGAACTCCTCCTAATAGTCGGCACCTGGGGAATCCCACATGGTCTCCGGCGCCAACCCCTTCATTGGAAGTGAAACCCTAAGCCGCAATTTGAAAAAGGCCTCCTCACGTGTGGCGTTTTCTATCAGGATACCAGATAATTTATCTTTTGTTTCGCGAAGCGTATCCCTTGAAGCAGTTCTTTTGTTGAGGGCGGGTTTTTGTTTCTCGGCGTGCCAGATGATGAGTCCAGTAATTATTGTTTCTAAATTTGCGGGCTTTATAATGTTGATGGGGTACAAGTATTGTTGAAGTATTCGTTGGGGAGATGCAATTGTTCCCTTTCGATTGGAGAACTGAGTTTGACGCCAGGGAATGATTATGGAAGATTTTTAATTTGACTAATTGACAATTGGCAGTCATCCTCGAGTTACATAAGTTTATTACGATTTATCAGTTGTATCTCACGAATTTATAAGAAAATGTAATTTTTTATCTTTAAAATTGACGACGCGAAGTACCGAAAATTTGTGATTATACCGAAGGGAGTAACTAAGAGATATTATTAGGAAATTCAAGAGAGTCGTAAATGTAAGGTTTACATTTTTTGCGAAAAAATAATTACCTCATGTCAAATCAGATTTTTTGAACATACTATGATTCCCATAACTAAGCCAAAAACTGATTAATAAATGATAATTAATTAAAACCTTATTAATTCAGAACCGTGTCTCTGGAAGATCATAAAATTTTACTGCATTTTACAGTTCCGTTATTGAATTATGAATGAATTGTTCGGTTATTCCAAATTCTAAAATTAATAATTAATAACTTTACAATTCGGAATGTTTCCTTGGGTATCCATCCGAAACCTTCTTTTACCCAGTATATAATTATAACTACCTATATTTGAACGACAGTTTGAAAACTTGATAAAAAATGGAAATAATATTTCGATTACAAGAATTATATAAAAAAAAATGTAGAAGTTCCAATGTAAAACCGTTAGATATGTATTTGACGTTTTAGTTTTCATTGTCACTATAGTTTAATGCTTTATTATGAGTGACACAAAATAATACGAATAATTAAAAAGTAACAGTTCCATCTTACCGGTATATGATTTAATTCAGAGTCTTTGAAAATGTAAATTTTCTGGTCTCTGAGTCTGTATGGATAACTTTTGTTGTTTGGGTAATACCACCCCACGCCTTTGTTCTTCAGTTTCTACATAGATACCTATTAAAGATAGGATAATTATTATTATTTCTTTTTTTAACCACCATTTCTTAATATCTCTGGTATATTTATATAGTGAACGAGCTTCTCAGACGACCGAAAAATAATATGATAGAGAAAAATGTAATATAAATTCCATTATTTCTTTATTTGTCATTCTCTGACCTTTCTTTTGTTCACACTCAAAAACATGAAAAATGGAACTAGACCACGCCTGACTTAGTTTGTTATTAATATCACTGAAAAAAATACAAGGAAATGTTCCCCGTGCTTTTTACTTTGAATGTTTTTTTTCTGCCTGCTTCTATCTAAATATAATATAATAAGGACGGTAAGTAAAGAATTTTGTAGGTATTACTTTAAATCGTGTGTTTGCGGCGCGAACTCTTTGTTTCTCAAGATGTTTAATATAATTATAACCGAATGTGCGTCACCACTGCATAATGCGGCGTAAGAGCTTACACAAAATAAAGCAATTTTTTATAATGTGGGATTTCAGGATTATGTGTGGAGTTGACACAGAAGGTTATTATGAATTTCTTTTGATAAATGAACGGGGCATTGACAAAATACCTCTATACGTGCTTTAAAAAATGATCCCCTTAAAAAGTCCCAAACGACAGATAATTCAATGAATATTTAAAATAAATAATTTGTGAGTGTCTGAAATATATCATTTTCCGACTTTGTGGAGTTAAAAATATAAATGGTGGCCACGGGAACAGCACGCGCAGTTCGGAACAACATGCGGCCAAGTGATTTATCATTTGAGGCAAATTGCTGAATTTGGGGTTTGTGGTATTTTATTTACTCCAGCCCTGCTATTCCGGGGCGCCCTGCTCTCTTTCTGCAGGTATTATTTGGCTAAAATAGCGCTCCTCCAATTTAATCGACTTTCGCCCTCTCCTTTAAATCTGTCCAAAGCTAATTATTACATTTGTCAGTCTTAATTAGCCGGTGCGCTTAAGTGTCTGGAATGTATTTGATCTCGATTTTGCGGAGGTAATGAATATTCTAATTACAGCCACGGTTTCATAATTTATTATAGAAGCATCATTCTGTGCCCTGAAATTCCCAAGGTATAATTAATTGATATTAAGTAGTATTTATCGCTGAATCTACACAGTAAATTAAGTGTTACTAATCCTAAATAAGGAACTCGAACGGCAAACGTCTTAAACGATTATCCTGTTTTGGCCAGAAAAGTATGGTAACTGAAGAGTTACTGCAACAACCAAGACTATTTTCTAAACATTGCAGGAACATTGAATGAAAAAACATTTTAAGAGAATAATAATAATACCGCCTTGGTTTGCTTTTGTATGATTTGATCAAATACTAATAGTTATGGACACGAATTGAGAGAAACATTAGTTTGCATTAACCCAATTTCGTTTGTCTCTTGAAATGCCCAGCTTTTATGTAAATGTTGTATTTAACATATTATTGATAATATTTAAATAAGCATGTTGGATATATCACTGCAAGTACAGTTATAGGTTTTTATTACCACCAAATTATAAGTTACAAGAGTTAAAGCAAAAGCTATAAGTACTGTACATTTCGTCTAAACGAAATTCCAATTTTTTTAAAGGTAAGATATAATATTAGATAATTTTTTCCCAATTCCTGCCAACATATCCATAAAATTATGAACTCTCATAATGTAGAAAATCCAATTTTAATAAAACGTATCGTAATGTTGATCGCCATAACAGTTAAATACCCAAATAAAGCTGCCACTGAATAACACATTAATTTAATATTAATAAATTCCTTTATCCTATACAATTTGAATGTACCCATTAGGTACATTCGATATGTATCATTTTTTTCTGGATATTATGCGTAAAAATATAACTACAAATAATAAATTGATATAAACGCCGTACGCTAATAGACCCGAATAAATACTCGTGTACATAAATTTCGGTACTCGGTAAATATAGATGGGCTCCGGTAGTTTTGTCAATACGCAGCGTTATTTACTGAAAAAAAAAGAGAGAAATGGTTGACAGCAAACTAAAATTTATTGATAATATCGGAATGTATAAACCTACGAATATCAATGTTTCATTCAGTACGATTTGCTCGCAATGAACCAGGCTGCACGTTGCGAACACGAAAAAAAGAATAAAATATTGTTGTTTGTTCGGCTTAACGTTCGCAATGATTTTTTTAAATCCCGATTTCGGCGAACCTAATTTAAATAAAGTGCATTCAAACTTTCAGGTAATTAATTTCCATTTGCATTTCACAATCGACGACACTATTCTTTGAAATATAAAGTGTAAATAAATCAAATTCATTGTATAGTCATCGAAAGGCATAGTGTATGTATATATCTAAACTAAAACAACACGGACTGATCGCTTACGTAGCACTCATGGCTAATGCATTCCAATTTGACGGAATAATTATAACAATTTCTCTAATCCAATCTATAAACTTCACAATAATTAAACTATCCAAGATCAAACGTTACAGGAATTGTTCTCTTTGGAAACTTTAACGATAATTATTATCGTCGAGCCGGCTGAGATGACTTAAGATCAAGCTGGCGGTGATTCCGTAGCACTTAACTTGATCATAGTTTAATTTCCCAGACGTTCAACTTTCCCGAGCACAAGCGCTGCTTACCAATTATTATTTCAATAAATATTTATACGCTGAGGGAAGTTCTATTTTGATATTCCTTACAGAGAAAAATACGACGCCTCGCGGTTACAACCAAAACGACAAAATATCGTGGGCGACTTTTCACTGTTTATTCCGTTGGTAACGTATTGTGTATTTTGAGTTGCATACGTAAATATTGTATTGTAAGTTGATAAGCAAATTTATCTTTGTATAGATAATTGGGTACAATGTCAACAGCAAAAACGCCAAAAGTTGAAATCGAGGAACAAAGCCTTTTCTTGCTATTGATGGATTTGCAACTATATTTAGTGGCTTGCGTGTGTAGGGGCAATTTCCAAAGTTGACGGCTGCAGCATTATTTAATGACGAATTGATGAATGCTTTTCAACATTCTAAGATTCATAGTGTAAATATAAGCTCTGGGTTGGGTAACTAACAATGAAATACGTGTAAAAAGAGGAAATT